GAAAAAAAAAATCATAAAAATTCAGAAAAAAAAAGCGGAAAAAAATCGGAAAAAAATCCCAAAAAATTTCTAAAAATTGCCCAAGATGCTAAACGTGTAAAAGGACCCAAAATGTGTGTTTTTAGCCCCAAAATGTGTATTTTTCACCTCGTTGAGGTAGTCCTCGAGGTCGGCCAGGATGCGCAGGTAGAAGCGGGGAACGCCCTCCCGGTCCACCACGCCCTTGGCCTTGGTCCACGCCCGGCCCAGCAGCTCAAACTCCTGGGATTTGGGAAAATTTGGGGGAAAAATGGGGAAAATGGGGATTTTGGGGGGAAAATGGGGAAAAAATGGGGGAAAATGGGGAAAAAATGGGGGAAAAATGGGAATTTTGGGGGAGAGATGGGGAAAAAACAGGGAAAAATGCCGGGAAAATGGGAATTTTGGGGTAAAAATGGGGAAAAAATGGGGGAAATTGGGAAAAAATGGGGGAAAACGGGGAAAATAGGGGGAACATGGGGAAAAATGGGGGGAAATGGGGGGAAAAACGGGAATTTTGGGGGAAAATGGGGAAAAAAAGGGGGGAAAATGGGGGAGGAAAAGGGAAAATTTAGGTTAAAAATGGGGAAAATGGGGGAAAAAAGGGAATTTTGGGGGCAAAAGGGGAAAAAATGGGAGAAAAATGGGGAAAATGGGGAGAAAAATGGGAAAAAATGGGGGGAAAATGGGAATTTTGGGATAAAAATGGAGGAAAAATGGTAGAAAAATAGGGGAAAAATTGGAGAAAAATTGGGAAAAAATGGGGTAAAATGGGAGGGAAAATGGGGGGGGAACGGAAAAATTTGGGTTAAAAATGGGAAAAATAGGGAAAACGGAGGAAAAATAGGGGGAAATGGGGAAAAATGGGAATTTTGGGTGAAAAATGAGGAAAAATGGGGAAAATGGGGGAAAATGGGAAAAAATGGGGGGGGAAGGGGAAAATTTGGGTTAAAAATGAGATGAAAATTGGGCATTTTTGGGGTGAAATTGGGGGATTTTGGGGGGTGGAAATTGGGGATTTTTGGGAGTAGAAATCAGAGATTTTTGGGGTGGAAATTGGGGATTTTTGGGAATAGAAATCAGTTTTTGGGGTGGAAATTGGGGATTTTTGGGGTGAAAAATGTGGATTTTTGGGGTGAAATTGGGGGACATTTCAGCAGAATTTTGGGCTGAAATTTGGGGTGTGAAATTGGGTAATTTTTCAGGGGGATTTTTTTGTGTGAGAATTGGAGATTTTTGGGTTGGAAATTTGGGATTTTGGGGTTTCAAATTGGGGATTTTTGGGGTGAAATTGGGGGATATTTCAGGGGAATTTTGGGGTGAAAATCGGGAGCTTTTGGGAGTAGAAATCTGAGATTTTTGGGGTGAAAATTGGGAATTTTTGGGGTGGAAATTGGGGATTTTTGTGAGTAGAAATCAGAGATTTTTGGGAGTAGAAATCTGAGATTTTTGGGGTGAAAGTGAGGGATTTTTGGGGTAAAATTGGGGAATTTTGGGGTGAAATTTGGGGATTTTTGGGGTGAAAATGGGGGATTTTTCAAGGGGATTTTTGGGGTGAAAAACTGGGGATTTTTGGGGTAAAATTGAGGGATTTTTTGGGAGTGGAAATCAGAGATTTTTGGGGTGACAATGGGGGATTTTTGGGGTGAAATTGGGGAATTTTGGGGTGAAATTGGGGGATTTTTTGGGAGTGGAAATTGGGGATTTTTGGGGTGAAATTGGGGATTTTTGGGGTGGAAATGGGGGATTT